ACACACACACACACACACACACACACACAGAGAGAGTTTGCTCAACTTTGGGGTATGCCTGCATGTCAACTACGTGTGACATTGTGCTGAGCTCTTTCCACATCTGTGTGTGGAGAGGAAGGCATGGTATCACTCTGTGGTACGGTTGGCATTTCGATATCGGGTGTGCATATCCATCGTACGGGCATCACAACGACAGAGGAAGTGTGAAATTGACTTGGAGTGGTATTGAGTGGCGAGGTGTTGTTGTCAAGAGAGGAAGGTCAGTAGAATTTGATGATAGGATGATTGCACTTGGATGTAGCGCTTGAGGAGCAGTAGAAGTGGGAGGAGGGACTTGACCGCCGTAACTTCTGATTGCCTGTTCTCTTCCATGCTTTGTTCTTCTCTTCGTCTGGTCGTGTGACACCATTGCTGTCTCTTGGTGATTTCTCACCCATTGAGCTCTGTGAGTTCATGCATGATGCTCATATTGCTTCTGCTGCTGCCGATGATGATGATGTGGATGTAAACTCGTTCCCTGCATAGGATCAAGAGGCATCTGTCTCTGGGAGTGTGTGTGTGTGTGTGTGTGTGTGTGAGTCAGTGAGAGAGAGAGAGAGAGAGAGAGAGAAACAATATTCTGGTTTTGGCATTTCTTTCTGGTCTTCAGATTCAGGACATGTGTTTTTGTTATGTGCAATGTTTTCGTTTTTGGTCGATTCATGTTGCGACCTAAGTGCCTGGCTTAACACATTGTGTGTGTGTGTGAGAGAGAGAGAGAGAGAGAGAGGTATCTCTTTGATTTTCCGTTTTGCCTATGCTTCCCCTCCTCGCCCCCCCTTGCCCTGCCCTCATCGCCCCTTTGCCCTCTGCTCCTCCTTTCTCCCTCCGCCGTCCGCTCCCTATCTCCTCCCACGCCGCCCCTCGGCCCTCCGCTCCTCACCCCCTCCACTTCTCCCCTCCGCCCTTCGCCTTCTGCTCCAGCTCTCTACCCACGCTGCCCTTCTGCTGTTTGCTCCTGCCCCTCCCTATCCCCCTTCTGCCCGCACTCCACCCTCTGCCTGCACTCTCTTTCTCTTTCTCTCTCTCTCGCTCTGAAATCACTAGTACATTTGCGAGTGTTGGGGGATTTTGGAAAACGGCCTGTTCCCGAAGAGTTCGGAGGCCGGGCCCGACAACGGCTGCCATTGATAAATCTCATCGGCAGCTGTCGTTTCGGTTCGGCCTTCGAAACGGTCGGAGGCCCACCCGAGGCCTGCTATTTTCCCACTCGGCAAAGCTACTAGTTGTTTAATACGTTAAATTAAAAAATGCACCCTGTGCCTTCTGCCCTCTGCTCCTCCGCTCTCCCTACACTTCTCCGCTTTGCCTTGGCTGCCCTGACTCCGCCCGCACTGCCCCTCCCTACTCCCGCACTGCCCCTCTGCCCTCCGCTCCTCCCCTTTGCCTTCTGCTCCTGCGTCTCGCACATGCTGCCCCTCAGCCCTCTGCTCCTCCCCGTCACTCCTCCGCTCTCCGCTCCTCCCCTCCACCCGCACTCCCCCTTCGCTCACTCTCCCACTCTGCCCTCCACCCTCCGTTGTTGTCCTCCGTCTTATCTGCACTCGTCCCTCTTCCCCCTCCGCCCTACATCCGGGCTCCCCCTCCTTCCGCACAGCTCCTCTTCTTCCTACCTCCACGCGCCCTCTCCGCTCTTCCGCTCTTCCTACCTAGGCGCACCCCCTCTGTCCTACATCTCCGCCCTACCTCCGCACTCCCCCTCCACCCTCCTCTGCAACCCCCCGCCGCCCTACCTCCGCGCTCCCCCTTGGTGCCGCCTTCACGCTCCCCCTCCCTCCATCGTAGCTCAGTGCAACCCCTCTGCTCCTCCGCTCTTCTTCCGAAATGAGGTAAGGAAAAAAAAAAACTCCACGCTCCGCCATATCTCTGCCACCCACCTCCACTGCTGCACGCTCCCCCTCTGCCTTACCTTCACGTTCCCCCTCCCGCACACCGCCCTACCTCCGCGCTCCCCCTCCGCCTTACCTCCGTGCTCCTCCCACGCTGCGCCCTACCTCTCTGCACCACCGCCGCTCCCCACGCTCCTCCTCCCGTTCCCCCCCCTACCTCCGAGCTCCCCCTCCGCCCTAGCTCTGTGCACCTCGTCCACCCCACCACTCTTCTTCCGTAATGTAATACGTAAAGAAAAAATATAAACTCCGCACTACCTCCATCCTCCCCCTCCGCCCTACGTCCGTCCTCCCCTTCCGCCCTACTTCCACCCTCCCACTCTGCCCTACCTCCGCGCTCCCCCTCCACCCTCCCCCTCCACACTGCACCTCCCGCGCTCCGCCCTACCTCTGCCTTCCACCTCCGCCCTACCTCTGCGCTCCTCCACCGCCATGCATCCACGCTCCCCCTCCCTTCGCCCTAGCTCCGCGCACCCCCACCACAACTCCGGTTTTCTTCGGAAATTTGATCTCTATACATATAAAGGAAAACGCGGGTCTCGCGTGACGGACCCATGGGAGACCCGGTTCCCTCGTGGGAATCCGCGTGCCGGTTCCACGGGCGGAGCACCAGTGGTTTGTAGAACCGCGCGACGGTTGGCCGGAAAAATTTTTTTGGACTTCCCGTGGCGGGCATCGTTTGTGGCGGGGCCAAAGTTTTGTCGTCGGTTCAAAGTTCTCGCAGCGAGGCCGGCGAATGTTCGAATTCTGGCTGGCCTGCGGGTGGAGCTATCGGGACAGGGGGCGTTTGCACCTGGACGTGGTATTCGGGACGGACCGGGACGTGCTTTTAGGAGGGGGGGTTGTACGGGCAGTGGGCAGGAGTGTTGTTGTGCTGCGGGTTATATCGACGTGCACTTGGATGGGGTATCGGGATAGGGGGATGTGCTTCCATGGCCGTTGCTCATCCTATCGATGGACGTAGCAAATGGCGCGTCCATGTTCTAGCCGAAGATTCATTGGATGTTGCTCATCCTATTGATGGAAGTAGCATGGCGCGAGCCGCGAGGTCGGAGAGTTATCGTCTCTCTCTCTCTCTCTCTCTCTCTCTCTCACACACACACACACACACACACACACACACACACACACACACACACGAACGATTCGTTCCAATTTTGCTAAAAAGGTGGCAGTGTATATTTCCACGTTTCACCGGAAGATTCATTCCGTTTTTGCTCATCCTATCGATGGAATGTGTGTGTGTGTGTGTGTGTGTGTGTGTGTGTG